TGGTGGTGGTTGTGGTGATGATGGTGGTGGTGGATGCTGATGATCACGATGTTGAGGAGGAGGAGGAGGAGGAGGAGGAGGAGCTTCCCAACGCCACGGAGCACGCCAGCCGCTCTGCTCTTCGCCATCCTCCCCTCCGCCGCCGAGCGGCAGTCGAGGCAGGAGTGGTGGCGTAGCCGCGCTCGTCTGCCGCTGCTCTTGGCGGCTGGCACCCTGTGCAGGCAGACTACTTCGGGGCTCAAGGGCCGGGGTTCAGTGCAAACGGGGGTCAGCCAGAGCGCCGGATCTTGCAGGATCCTGCAGAGCCTGGGGCGCACTGGCAGGGTCTAGGGTGCAGGATCTTGCAGGATCCTGCAATGCCTGACTGACCTGGGTTTGGATGGGCCCGGGTCAAAAGATCCCCGAACAGTTGCTACACTTGTTGGCCTGCACGGCGGCAGAGGGCCTCGAGCTCCTCGAACATGGACTCGGGGATCTCATCCGCTGGCGGTAGCCTGGCGGCGACGAAATGCTGCACCAGGCGCCGCCGCCGAGCGTCGACGTTGAGGGCGGCCTCGGCTGTCTCTTCGCCAGCAGCTCCGCGGCCCCAGAGTGCGGGAAGGTCGTCGGCCTAAGCAGTGTCCTCCAGCTCGTTCTCCACCATCGCCTCCCTGGCCTCCTCGCGAACGCCCTCGAGCCGCGTGGGTGCTCACCCCATGGGGCGGGCCCGTGGGCGCCCTCCGCGCGCGGGCGGGGATCGCCGCCAGCTCCCGCACCAGCCAACGGTTGCGCCCCTTGCTCCCCGTCGACGTCGCAGCGAGGCCCCCCGAGCACAGCGCCGCTCGCGCCCTGGCCCGGGCCAGCTGCGCCACTGGCCGCACCACCGCGCCCACGCCGCCTCCGCTGGGGGCGCGCCCGCCTCCGCCGGCACGGGCCGCTCCGCCGCGGGGCCGGTCCAGTCGGCAACCGGCGGCGCGGAGCAGCCCCTCCGCCGCGCGCAGCAGGCGAGCCCCCGGTGGGGGACCGCCCCGCCGCGAGCCCAGAGGCGACACGGGCCGCGGGGAGAGCTCCGCTCGCAGCCTCGACGGCGCCGTGGAGCTCTGCACTCGGCTGCGAGCCCGGCATCCGTGAGGCGGCAACGACCCGAGAGGTGCCTGCGACGCAGCGCTTGAGCGAACTGGGTGATTATTGGAGGAGGAGGAGGAGGAGGAGGAGGAGGAGGAGGAGGAGGAGGAGGAGGAGGAGGAGGAGGAGGAGGAGGAGGAGGAGTGGAGAGGAGGAGGAGGAGGAAGAACAGGAGGAGGAGGAGGAGGAGAAGGAGGAGGAGGTAGAGGAGGTAGAAGAGGAGGAGGAGGAGGAGAAGGAGGAGGTGGAGTAGGAGGGTGAGGAGAAGGATGATGATAGCAATCATCAAGAACATGAGCAGGAGGAGGGAGGAGGTGTGAGGAGGAGAGGATGAGGGAAGAGAAGGAGAGGGCGATGAGGGGGAGGCGTGAGAAGAGGGGTGAGCTTTTGACTACAGGTGATGATGGGGAGCAGGGAGGAGGATTGAGTGGGGCTTCGTGTCGGCGCTGAGTGCCAGCCTGAAGCAAGAGGAGCCGAGGGTCGCGCGAGGGCAGTGGGGGACGCGCAGGATGGGGCTCCGCGGGGGAGGCTGGGGGAGACGGAGGGGGAGGAGGATGGCGGGAGGGGCCTCCCCCTCTGGGAGTCGTGACCGGGGAGGGTTCTCCACCCACCTCCAAGGTGTGAGCGGGCCCGCGCGGTGGCGGCCCGCGGTGTTGTTTGGGGCGCTTCAGGCATTGACTGGCGTTCCCACAGAGCGAAGCGAAGCGAAGATGAGGTAGAGTAGGGGATGACAAGGAGGAGGAGGAGGCGGAGGAGGCTGAGGAGGAGGAGGATGGCGAGCTTTCTCTTGGATGGTCAGGTGGATGAGGAGGGTTGGGGTATGGATGATGCTGTTGTTGTTGATGATGATGATGATGCTGACGGTGGTATTGATGATGACAATGATGATGCTGATGGTGATGATGATGGTGACGCTGATGATGCTGATATTGTTGCCGATGGTGATGCTGAAGAAGATGGAAGGAAGCTGATGATAATGATGGTGGTGGTTGTGGTGATGGTGATGATGCAGGTGAAGGTGACGATGATAATGATGCTAGTGGTGATGCTGATGACGACGCCGCCGACGACGATGAGACCGATGATCCTGATGCTGATGCTGATGCTGATGATGATGCTGATGATGCTGATGATGCTGCTGATGCTGATGCTGATGCTGAGGATGGTGACGGCGACGCCGACAGCGACGGCGATGATGATGATGATGCTGATGATTATGATAATGGTGATGATGCTGATCATGATGATGGTGATGATGATCCTTGTTCTCATCATTATGATGGTGATGATGGCGGTGATAATGGCTATTATTCTGATGCAGTGGGCGAGTAGTACGACGATGTTGGTGGTGGTGATGGCGATGGAGATGGTGATGGTGATGCTGCTGCTGCTTCTG